GCTCATATGGTTGCGAATGGTACAATATAGATTATGTTCGCGTTGTTTATATATTGAATTCTGGTGCTGGGAAACAATGAGGTGAATGGGTAGTAACATCGGATTAGGGTGACATCTTATGGAATATTAGAGATCGTGTGTTTAGTTCTTTATTGGAGAGTGCTGTTGGCACGTGGTTCGCTTTTGTGATGAATCACACAACGCTAGACAAGAGATTAAGATGGCCCTTCTGGTCTAATTGGATTAGGACATCTTCCCGGGTAACAGAAGGTGTGGGTTCGAGTCCCACGAAGGTAATTTTTTTCGATTTCTCTGTCTCTTTCGCTGATGTCCCTATAGTTTGAGCTAACACATGTGGCTTTTTGATATGAGATATATCATATCGGTGCTAATTTGGCTTTAGTGTGATGTTGCGCACGTGTTTAAACTTGAAATCTGATTTTGGGTGCTTAGGTATGTTTTGAAAAGTTGAAGGGGTTTTTTTGAAATATTTAAGTAGTGTAGTACGCTTGGTGTACGGTTGCGGCAGTTGTACACTGTCCCTGAGCATTGGGAATCCTCGCTTCACTGTTAAGCTCTCCGCAGTTTTGCTGCACGCTTATTTGCATGCTATCACCGCTGTGATAAGCCCTTGACACCCACCACACACCTTCATTTTGCTGATAATCCTTCTGCACTCATAGTGCGCCCTCACATTGATATCAACCCATCCGCACCCACCCCACATCCTCACATTGATATCAACCCATCCGGACCCACCCCACACCCTCACACCCTCACCCTCACACACACCCACACCCTCACCCATCTCAACATACCTATCACACGTGCTCAGACTGGTATGGAATGGTTGAAACACTTGGATAGATGAAGAGTTGAACGAATATTGAAATTGAAATTGCATGTTAGACATTTATGGATATGAGAGTGGTGAGATCTGTACTGATATCATATATGGTTTCGTATGAAAGTGGAAAGATCGATACTGTGACTATGGATTGTTAGAAGAATGATTCTGTGATCAAAGGTTAGACGCGATAGGCTTTTTGTAGTTTATTTTAAAAATTTTTAATCTATGATGATCAGGCAAAATCATGGTATGTATTGTTTAGGAATAGTGAAAGTACAAATGCCAGGCAACGTATTAGTCAGCTTTATTGATAACAACAAAATACATGACATAAAGATGAATTATTTTCAAGTTAGAGATCACAATCAGAGTCACCGTTAGTCTAAGGAATATGAAGAAAAAGACACAGTTAGTTGAGAAAATGAGGAGTGTTATTGTTTGTAGTTACTTTTGTGTTTGGATAGGTAAGATCACTGGCGATAACACCAACGCCATGCTCGAGTTGATAATCATCGAGTTGGATATTCTCTGGAACGTCGTATTCGTAACTACCATCAGTCGAATTGATATCACTATTTGGATGATCAACGAGTAATTCTCCTTGAGATTCAGATTCTGAATCAGAATCAGGACGAAAACGATTGTTGTCGTCGATGTAGATATCGACAGGAGTGAAAGCCATGCTGACCTCGTGTAGATTGCAAAGTAACCTTTCACGAACATCTGATGGTACGTTTAATTGATTGATCCGATCGAATAACAGCTCAATTGGTTTATATTCAATAGTTGTACGATTGTTTAAGAGGAACATGCGATGGCGATATTCCAAATCGTGGTCGAAGAATATTTGACTTTTCATATCATTGATAATTTGTTGACATTCATGGTTGAGATTGATGTAAGTGTCGTGAGCAACCGAGCAATTAGAAGAGTTTACCAGGAATTTCGATGGATGCATAACCTAAGTGAATACACAGTTAGTAAATGATCACGAAGTGAATGCAGACGAAGGCTATCAATTTAGGTGCGTTTACAGCTTTTCTCTGTCATCGCTAACGATTGTCTGCTCAACGCATGTTGAATTCATTGTGTTCATTGCTCACTTTCAAAATCGGCCAAATCTCTTCTATCGTGTTGGTGTCCAAGTATCCTGATCGCGTGAATGTGTAGAAGTGTGAATTTTGTGGGACAAGTCTAATGAAATAAAACAGAGAAAAAGAATAAAACATGTTTTTTTAGAGCTTTGTTTGAATCTAATCTATACACAATAGTGGTTCCATAATTTATTGAGAAGATAAAAAGAAAAAGAAGTCTATGACAGATAAATCACCCTCAAGATAATTATTTTTTTTTATTCAAGGTCTTAAAAATAGAATAAATGCGAAAACTTCGGACTTTATCCGAAAGTTGTGTGTACTTCAAAAAGTGTATCAGATGGCACACAAAAATCTGAGAATTTTTTTGTAAGTTATAAGTATTACAGTCGATCGAGCTCATCATCGAACTCGTCTGCGACATTAACAATATACGGCTATGTACTAAATTTCATGAAAATTGGATTATTCTTTCAGGAGCTATCGGATTAACGGTCAGACGGGCCTACTGACCCATCCTATAGTATACTCACTTTTTGAGTACACAAAAACCAGCATGCAAAGTTTGACAACCTTATCTGCCATAGAATCACTTGGATGATAACTCACCGACGCCAACCTTATCCATATCGTTGCGGGCTCCCTAACAATCCATCTACCCTTCCACATGCCCACAAAAGTAGTACGGAGGGTTTGGCGTACAGTCTTAACACGAAATCGCGTGGGTGAAATTTTACCCTCACCCACCCATGTCGCCAACACCTATCATCCTCGCTAGTATGCGAACAGTAGCTTGACGCTTTCTAGACATATGGAGACAGCCTGCCAAGTTTCGCGGCCTTTTCAGTTATGGAACCACTTGGATGAGATTCCACCCACGCCATCCTTACCCACCCTCATTACTGGTCCACTAACTCTCTATCGATGTTTCCCTATATTCACAGAAGCACTATGAAAGATTTCATGACTTTTTCTGATGTAAAATCGCTTGGGTGAAATTCCACCCAGATCTCACCCAGGTCACCCAGACCTACCCCTTCACTGGCTAATCAGTATTTTTCTGGATCCAAAGACACAGTACAGAAGGTTTCGTGGTCATAGCTGATACAAAAAGTGAATGCAAAGCGAACAAGCGGATATACACGCAAATCTTCAAGTTTTTCATATATAGGAAATAGAGAAAACTTTACCAAAAGTCAGCAAGAGTACAGCCGATCAGGCTCATCTTCGAACTCGACCGAGGCATTTACAAGATAATGCTATGTATCAAATTTCATGAAAATTGGATTATTCTTTCAGGAGTTATCGGATTAACGGCCGGACGGACATACTGACCGATTCTATAGTGTACTCAGTCTTTGAGTACACAAAAATAAGCTTCGGAACATGGAATCTTATGAAAATGAATGAAGATGTTTGGTTGAATATATTCAGAGAAAGTAATCTCATCGAAAAACTAGAATTCGTGAGTGTTTTTGTCTTCTTTTTAAATCCATTCTATGATTATTGTCTTTTGCAAAGTTTGAGAAATGATTCTTTGAAAGTATTTCGATACAACGTTGATGGAATAACGAACACAACGAAGATGAGTATTGATGGTAAAAATGAAATAAAATAAGCTGAAAGATATAACCAAACATAATCAGATACTTTTAAGCATGCAGATAATAATGAAATAACTAAACGTGGTGTTGATAGAAGAAGTAAAATAATAGGACTAATAACAATTTGTTTATGTTCTTTCCATTGTTCATGAATATGTTCTTTATATGTTTGTATGTTTTGAGCTCGTACTCGTCGTCGAACACTTGCAATAATAACAAATAGAGCAGAGACAAAATTTGCGATGAATGGACCAAGAAGATGAATGAATAAAATGATTGTATTATAATTTTGAACTGATTGAGAATACGAAGTTGTACACCAATACGTTGGATCTGCTTCGGTTTTCTCTGATAATTCAAATCCTTTGTCGGTCCATTTTTCCTCCGTTGCTCTATAAGTGAATACTTGACGATGCAATGGTTCATGAATAATTGTCGCCATGATAGAAAAAGGTAAGATAAATATTATCCATTGTGCATATCGTATACTTTTTTCTTTATTGAAACTGACTCCTTTGTAAACATTAACTGCACGTTCAATAGCTACACATGCATTGAGCCAAGCATCCCAATACAAGAAAAGTTTGAGAAGAGTTTCAATTAATTTACAACCGCCTTTCAGAATTGATAGATGAACATTTGTATTTATTTGGGTAAGAATAACAAACCAAAATTTGATTGTAAACATAGAAACCGTCAAAAGAGAAGTAATTGATGACGCTAAAAGATACCAGCCACATCCAACTCTTCGTAAGCTCACATTACGAAACGTTAAAAGTGAACAAACACTACTGGTAATACCTGCAACAAGCATAATTATTGCTAAACCAGCACTTAATTTGATAATTAGTGACTGATCAGTTATTGATCTATTTCGATTAGTTTCATTACGTAAAATATCATCAAGAATTAAGCCAATACTTTTCACTTGAGTATTACATGGACCACCAATATGACAATAAGTTGAAACATCAGCTAAACAATTTTTGATATTTATAACTCATAAAATTCGTTTTAAGTATATTCATACTTACAAAATCTTTCAAAAGTGATATTCGTTGGACCGAGGAGGTGGAGAATCTCAAATTATTACCAGTTTTCGCGAACATATCTTTATTAATACTTCAGACTATGTTAGAACTCATTCATCTAGTTTGGCCTTAGTGGAAACTGTCGTCCCATATCGTACTTCAGATATTTATTTCTCTATCAAAATTTCCAAAATCTGTTATAATCCAAAGCATTCCACAGTACTTGTCTATCTATATCTTCTAAATCATGCAGACATCCAGATATCAGATATTTACTTCTGTGTTGAAAATTTCACATTTGTATTATAATCCACAGCATTCGACAGTAGTTGTCTATCTATGTGCTTCTGAACTGTGCAGATATCCGGATATCAGATATTTACTTTTGTATGCAAATTTCAAATTTTTATTCTCTTGTAAAGAGTTCGCTAGTAATTGTCTATCTATGTACTTCTAAATCATGCAGATATCCAGATATCAGATATTTACTTCTCTGTGAAAATTTCAAATTTTTGTTATTCTGCAAACACTTCGACAGTAATTGTCTATCTATGTGCTTCTGAATCGGACAGATATCCAGATATCAGATATTTACTTTTGTATGGAAATTTCAAATTTTTATTCTCTTGTAAAGAGTTCGCTAGTAAATGTCTATCTATGTACTTCTAAATCGGGCAGATATCCAGATATCAGATATTTACTTTTCTATGTGAAAATTTCAAATTTTTATTCTCTTGTAAAGAGTTCGATAGTATTGTCTATCTATATGCTTCTAAATCATGCAGACATTCAGATATCTACTTCTGTGTTGAAAATTTCAAATTTGTATTATAATCCACAGCATTCGACAGTAGTTGTCTATCTGTGTGCTTCTGAATCGAGCAGATATCCGGATATCAGATATTTACTTTTGTATGGAAATTTCAAATTTATATTATAATGGAAAGAATTTGATAGTATTGTCTATCTATGTGCTTCTAAACCGGGCAGATATCCAGATATCAGATATTTACTTTTGTATGGAAATTTCAAATTTTTATTCTCTTGTAAAGAGTTCGCCAGTAATTTTCTATGTAGACGTCTGAAAGCTGGCCAAATATAAGATATTTACTTTTCGCTGAATGTGCCTAAGCGAGAACGACTGGTGAAGGATATCATAGGTAATGTCATACATTATATGATGTATATTATCCATTGAAATATGATTTGCAAAGTCGTCACTTCAAAATTTTCAGAGAAAAGTAAATATCTGATATCTGCTGAGTTTCTACCTTTTTCTAGGCATAGATGACAGACTATCATTGATTTCTTCAGTATCAGTTGGAATTTGAAATTTTCTCACACAAATAAATATCTGATATCTGAAACTTTGAATGAGTAAAACTAAACCAGTTATACTTTTCAAACGATATCGGAAATTTTAGAACATCTCATTTCAAATAAATAACATCAGACAATATGCATTTTTTAAAATTTTCATGACTCCTGAGTATGAAAATTTTAGAACGTTATTTTTGAAAACTGGTAATAATTTGAGATTTTCCACCCCGTGTATCGTCTCCCACTCTGTGAGGTCACTTCTTAATGTAAATATTCCTTCATTTGCAGCGGGTATGCCCGCTAGTCAAATATAAATATATTTCATTTGAAAATCTTCTCTCATTTACAGATCTTCCGTTTAATCAAGCAAAATTTTGCTCAAAATCAGTTTGGAATCGAAATGGAATAACATTTGCTGATCAATCAATACTTGGTTTAAATCCTTCTTCAATCTTTATTAATAAACAAAATTCAATTTATTCAATTAATCGAGAGAAAAAACAAATTTTATTTTGGAATGAAAATGATATTGTTCCATCAAAAATTATTCCTACTGATTTTGATAATTCATCTTCTTTATTTGTTTCATCAAATGGTGAGATTTTCATTGATAATGGAATGAACAATCGAGTTGAAAAATGGATATTTAATAAGAATGTATCAATTAATGTAATGAGTGTCTTTTCTTCTTGTTCTGGTTTATTTATTGATGCATTGAACTTTTTATATTGTTCAATGTCTAAACATCATCAGATTTACAAAAGAGACTTTCATAATCCTGTCATGGGATGGGAAGCCGTCGCTGGAACAGGTGAACAAGGTTCAACATCATATAAACTTAATCATCCTCATGGAATATTCATTGATCCACGTTTCAATACATATGTAGCAGATTGTGGAAATAATCGAATTCAACGATTTCAATTAAAACAAATGTCTGGTTCTACAGAAGTAGGAAGTACATCATCTGCAAAACATCAATACTCACTTTCATGTCCAACAGCAATTATATTAGATGTTCAACAATTTTTATTTATTGTTGATTCAAATAGTAATCGAATTCTTCGATCAGGACTAAATAATGTTCTTTGTGTTATCGGATGCGATGGAATTACTATTAAATCTACACAATTATTCATTCCAACTAGTCTTGCTTTTGATAGTTTCCGAAATATGTTTGTTGTTGATTCAAGAAATAATCGAATTCAAAAATTTGAATATTCATCAAATTCTTGTAGTAAGTTTTAAGGAAAATCATTAATAATATCAATGTAGATTCAAAGAAAATAAAATTCTATTTTGTTTCTCTTACTCTATAGATATGTTATCAGTTATTCAATGGACAAATTCATCAACATTAACTGAAAATAGTCAAATCTATTCACAAGATTGTAATCAGAAAAGTTATTATTATGAATCATTTGAAATTCGAGTGCCTGAAAATCGTTATTATTCAATATGGAGTACTTCTCAAGTCGATACATCTGGTTTTATTTACGAAAAGAATTTTGATCCGCTTAATCCAAATGAAAATCTTCTTACAAAAAATGATGATGGAGAATCTAATGAACAATTTAAATTTGAACTTCCTCTTTATAATGACACAAAATATATCTTAGTTGTTACAACATATTCTCCAAAGATGACTGGTGATATTACAATTCATATGTCGGGTGTTAAGAATGTTACTGTTACACGTCTTTGTAAATATTGTTTTGGTTTGAGAAAGGATTTTTATCTAATCATCTAAAAAAATTGTGTTTATTTTTAAATAGCTACACCAGTGAACATTCAATCGAATTATTCATTGGAATTAACTCCTGATAGTCCAAAATATTGTCGAGATTATGTTAAGCGAAGGTATTATTATCAAACATTACAAATTAATGTTATGAAAACAAGTTCATATGTTATTTGGAGTGAAAGTAAAATAGAAACATATGGTTATCTTTATAAAGATAATTTTGATCCATTACAACCATTTGGAAATTTAATTAAACAACATAGTGGCAAATGTAATCAAGAACAACTGAAATTCTATATTAATCTTGAAGAAAATACAAAATATATATTAGTTATAACAACATATTATCCAAATATAACAGGAAATTTTTCAATATTTATATCTGGTCAAAATCACGCTACTATCAATTATTTTAGTATGTAATTCTATTCAAAAATTAATCTTTATATATCCAAAAAAATATGTTTAGATTCAAAACAACAAAGTTGTTCAATTGGAGATCGATGTCATTTTTATTCCACAACAATTGGTTTACCACTTGATGATATTTTACGTGGTGAAATTCAATCAAAAGTAACATTATCACATCAATCTACATCAATTCAAATAAGTTCTGCTTTAACTATTCTAATGTTTATTGGAGGATTAATTAATAGTTTATTTTCTTATTTAACATTTCAAAATAAAGATTTACAAAAAGTTGGTTGTGGATTATATCTTTTTACATCATCAATTACATCTCTTCTAACAATTTCAATGTTTTTCATTAATTTTTGGTTTTCTATTCTTACTGAAATCAATGGAAAAACAAATTTTTTTATTCTTCGTATTGGTTGTATTATTATTGAACCAATTTTAAAACTTTTTCTTTATTATGATAGTTGGTTAAATGCTTGTGTTGCTATTGAACGAGCAATACAAGTTTTAAAAGGTGTTAAATTTAATCAAAAGAAAAGTAAACAATTTGCTAAATGGATTATTTTTATTTTACCATTATGTATTTTACTAAGTCTTATTCATGAACCGTTACATAGAGAAATGTTTCAATATGAAACGGAAATTGATAAAATTAATATTAGTAATACTGAACAGATGGAAAGAGAAGTTGACGAATCAAAAGAGAATAAAACATCAGTTGATACAGTTTATGATAGTAAAACAAGTGAACATGTTTGGTGTGTTGTTCGTTATTCATCATCTATTCAATATTATAATATAATTATTCTATTTTTTCATCTTCTTATTCCATTTGTTTCTAATCTATTTTCAGCGTTATTTATTATATTTGGATCAGCTCGACAACGATCATTAGTACAAAAGAATCAATCTTATAAAGAACATATTTATCAACAATTTCTTGAACATAAACAATTAATTATAAGTCCAATTATATTATTAATTTTATCAATGCCTCGTTTAATTATTTCATCATTACCTGGTTGTATAAGAACATCACAAAATTTATGGTTATATCTTACTGCTTATTCCTTTTCATTTACACCATCAATACTTATCTTTATTATCTTTGTTTTACCTTCAAATACATATATGAAATCATTTACCAATTCTCTTATCACTTGGCGACGTCGAATACATCAATTATCTTTGGAATTTTCATTGCTTAAATTTAAGACGAAGACAAAATAATTTATTTTCCTTGTATAAAACAAAATTTATTATATTTACATTGACATATTTTGCTTCTATATTTCTTTATAATGAGAGTAAGAGTGTAGATGTGTTTGATAACGAAATATTCCACATTCTTACCTTCATACGAATGATAATGAAAGATCTATTTTTCTATAGTTTCACGATAATTATTTGATTCATATTTACTCTCAACATGCGAAATTTCGTTGAGGATAAGTGGATGGGAATGAGCGAAGAGAAATAACAACATGGTCACCCAGAACAATTATTCCGAATTCTTTTTGCTATTGTCTATACAGAAAGGGACGAGTATATATGTACACACTTATCTATATATTTAGTTTATAATCAGTTACATTATAGACTGTTGTATAAAATAATCTAGAATACAAACAAATCAAACCCTAATCTAATTCTTATTTAAGTTATTTTGTACTTTGCGATTCTTTATTCGTCTGAGCACATCATTTGTTCACCCATCTTATATTGTCATAATGAAATCCTCCGAGAAATTCCTGGAATTTTCAGAAAGAATTGATGGAAAATCCCTATATGATGGTCGTTTACGACTGTCGTAACAGGTGTTCATTGAAAAAAATAAAAGAAATATTTCAAGATTTGCTTTTCGAATAAAAATAAAATAAATTCATTTGAAAAAAATCATTAAAAAGATTGAAATTATCATTAAAAAATGATTTGAAATGTCTTTTATTTGAAATTGATAGAAGGGTGGGTGGGTGTGGGTGTGGGTGAGGGTGTGGGTGTGTGAACCAGCTGAGAACAGATCAAACCTATCTCTTGACGAAAAGACAAGTGTAATCTGCTTATGTCCAACTCTTGCTTTTCAGCAATCAATGTTGTTCTTTTGTCTGAATGAATGAATGAAGATCTTGAAGTAATGTGCTTTGTAAATATATGGAAAAATGCAGAATTTGTTCACCGACGCGTTTCGTATCTTTTATAAGATAGTACTCTTCAGGGCTATATATATATCTAGAAAAGAAGGCAAAAAGAGATAATAATGATAATTATTCTGATTATTAAATAAAAGAGTAAATAAACTCATGTTATCATGTGAAGTAACAATTGAACGGATAGGATCTAAACGATATGCGAAAAAAAATTAGTTATTTGAATAATAATCCTATCTTTTCATTACCTTGACGGTGATAGAGTTGGCTCACAGCCAATTTGAAAGTTTCTAATCGAAGTACACGGTAAAGAAACATCTATAAGCGGAAACAGAAAATAATTAATATAACGAAGAATGCATTATTGAAAACGAGTCAAAAAGCGAAAGATATCATTATTACTTCAAAGAAAACACCAATCAACTTGAGTGTAT